TGAAGCAGGCCAGGAGCTGGGGCAGCGGGAGAGAGGGAAGGGTGGCAGTAGGGGTGCCCGCTGGCCACTAAGCCCTGCAGCACTCACCTTGACAGTCTTCTGGACACGGATGTCTTTCTCAAAGCAGGACTCCTTCAGGAAGGTGCAGATCATATTCACTGTATCCTTCACGTTCTTTGTGAAATCCGTGCTGGGCTGCAGATTCTCCATGACCCAGGTGTCCAGCTTGTTGGCGGCCACCTCCCATAGCGTGTTCGTAGATAACATCTGTCCCGCTTCCATCCTGCCAGTTGCAGTCACCCCCTCTCTCCGCTTGCTCCTGCCTGCAGCAGCTTTTAAACCTTCCCGGGTCACCGCCCCGACGGCGTCACCGCCGGGCAAGCTAAGGTGTCCCGCTGCTTCGCCTCTCCCCGTCTGCGCGGCACAGCCGCCACCCAGCAGGGGGGCTTAGGTGACAGCAATGGGACGTGACTGGTGCCAGTACCACCGGGGGTCCTGGTGCCCCCCGGCCGGTGGGCGGTGCGGGCAGCGCTGCAGCTCGCGCTGCCTTAAGCGCCGGCGGAGACGGGAAACGGGAGTTTCTGTTTCTGCTCCGTTTTCGGTTTCTGCCTCTCGCCGGCTGGAAACGAAAGTGCAAAGGGTCGCTGTGGCGTTCGGGGTGTGACGAATACCGCAGGTGAACCAGAGAGTTTAGTGTGGGATGTGAGACAAACAAGGCACAAAATTGGTGCCACTGAGCAAAGACATCCAGAGATAACTCATACTGTCTGATCTGTACCTAAATAAAAGCCTATTTGTGCACCCGATATTGTGTTGTCTTTATTTTGCCCTGGTGGGATCACAAAGAATCTCCACGTATCCGATTATCGGATCGTGACAGTCGTGTCTGTGCCTCACCCTGCGATTCCCCGGTCCCTGCCATCCGGGGAAACTGGGAAGAGCCAAAAAACGGAATGAACCTCAAGCCTGGAAACTCGAAGCAGGAGGATGGGCAGGAGCCGTGGGCAACGAAGAAGAAAAGAAAGGGGATATAGAGTAGGAACAGGAGCGGGAAGGGAGGAGTGACAGGACACGGGCAGGAGAGTCAGGGAGTAGAAGGCAGGAAAGGACAGGGATGGGTCAGGAACGGGGCAGCAGCAGGGGCGGGGATGTGGGTAAAGGATGGGGATAGGTGTGGGGTGAGGTCGGGGTCAGGGACAGGGGAAGTGGCAGGGGGAGGGACAGACAGTAGCAGGGAGAGGGACAAGGGCAGGGATACGGGAAGGAGCAGGGACAGAAGCAGAGATACAGGCAGAAGCAGTGAAAAGGCCAGGAGAGGGACTAGGGCAGGAGCAGAGACAGGTGTCCCCTCCGTGCTGGGTGACAGCAG